TCAAGGAGCACAAAGACTACTGTACCAAAGATATGGTCTCCCCTATGGAGCTTTTCGGCAAAACCAATTTCAGCATTTATGGAAATGTTCCTTTTTTTTCCCAACTCCCAGCCTTCCTTATTAGTCCCGATATTTATCCCAACCAGTGAGAAAATTGCTTCAAAAGGTCCATTTTCCAGTGAACTTGAATCACTTTTACTCAAAATGATTTTTCATCCTTCTACGGCAACCATGGTGCTGTCTCCAGTGGTAAATCTGTCGAGACGTTTTGTTAAGATTAAGGACGTATTGTTGTCGATAAACAATTGAGCAAAAAATTCTAATTTTTCATATGCATAGCAATAAATGTATTTTTCGGCTCATGTATTGGATTTTATCTAGCTGCAGAGACAATTTTTTCAGCTTTCAATTAATTTTTCAATAACTCACGCAACTGTTTCTATTTCTAAGAAGCGAGAAAAGTGATACAAGGACGGGTCGACTAGCAAGAGAGGCTATCTTCCTTGTCGGCTCAGATTCAGGGCACAGTTTGGTTTCGCAGTGAGGTTCAATAACCGATTTATTCAGTAGAGCTTGAGTAGGGCTAGCTTTTTTCGAATTTTAATCCATTCATATGATTCAGGGTACACACTTTTATAAGAAAATAGTCTATAAGAATATTAAGGCTTTAAATCGCTGAAATTTAAGAAAAATTTAAGATTAATGCAACGCTCAAGCTTTATCAAGAATCAAGTTTTTGGTTTACTTGAGTTTTGTTCAAAGCGAGAAAAATGCGAGTTTTAATAATTAAAAAATGTTGTGGCTCTGCAAAAATTAGATATTCTAAAAAAAGTTGGGATGTGAAAAATGCTTGGATACAAACACGTTGATGTGTCAATAGATGTTTAAAAATGTTTGGATTGATTCAACGATAGCTTGCTGCGAAATATAGTGAGGACCATTAGAAACAGTTACTTCTTATCCCCATTTTAAAGTAGATGGCTTTTGGTGTCTCGTGATGTTTTGCGAGGCCCTATAAGAGGGGACGACATTATTTCATAATACATGATGATATCTTACACTTAATTCATATTTCAAATTACCAAAGTAAAGTATTTCGAAATTGTCAAATGTTCCATTCTACCCCCAAAGTAGAAAGTTTTTAGGAGATGTCAGGACACATGGGACCGACTCACATACAAAATGGACTGAGTCTTAAAAACCAAACTTTGCAGATATAATATTGAAAATGTATAAAGAATATGAAAATGGCTTTGAAAAAAGCAAACATTTTACAACATACTAAAAGCTTTTTCGTCTGACACTCCTCAGAGCATAAAACGTCAGAATAGGTTCCGAAAAAACACGATGGAAAATTATATACCCAGTTATGGATCGAAATAGGCCAATCAGAAAAACGCAAGCACAAGACCGGTATAGTTGACCAATCAGTGCCGCGAGCCTAAAAAAAATTACCAATTGAGTCCAAGAGAGAAAACGAACTCCTTTTGTCTACACAATGGCGGCTTTTTCGTTTTTATGTAGATTGACTCCAAAACTGCTAGATGGAAGGACGACCGGGCTCTGCCAATTATCCGAAACATGTCGTCGTTATAGAGTTTTGCACAATCTGGGTTGTCTAAAAGATGTTGACCAATGGCAGAATCACTTGTTTTAACAGTGTTTCTAGACCTACAAGCTCGAGGAGGCTGTTCTCTTTGAGGGGCAGTTTTGTTTCGTATGTTGGAAGGAACATGCTGTTTTATCCTATCCCCCAATCTTTGGGTTGTGCGCCCTACGTAGCCAGAATCACACTGGCACGTAAATTCATAAATGACGGAACTTTTTTGTTTGGTAGGAACGCAATCCTTTTGAATGGATGGAAGAGCTCTCCTAGTGCTGTAAATAATCCGAGGATTGACAGCAAAGAAACAATTGGTTATGGCTTGCCTAATCTGACTCTCGAATCGCAAGGAAGTGTTACCAATCCATGGTAGTTTCAAATAAACTGGGCACTTTTGCGGACCAAACTTTTGAACAGCCGAAAAACTTGCGATCTTCTCCTTAGTATAAGATAAAATGACGTCTTCAGGATAGCCGTTGTCCAAGAAGATCGTTTTGAGTTTTTTCCAGTTCAGCGTGCAGTTTAGATTTCGAGCAGATCATAAGTGCCCTATGTACTAATGTTTTGACAAGGTTGACTTTGCGTTGTTTTGGGCAAAATGAATTCCAGCGTATGTACTGACCGGTAAAAGTAGGCTTGCGATATACACTGGTAAGAAATCCAGTGTTAGACTTTTCGACCAAAACATCTAAAAATGGCAAGGAATCATTTTCTTCCTTTTCAAACGTAAACTGGAGGGCTGGGTGTAGGCTATTTAGGTGTTTTAGAAAAATATCACACTCAGCCTCTGTTTTGAAAATGGTATATGTGTCATCCACATACCGAAGATAGACACCTGGCTTCTGGTCGTAGTCGAACAAACGCTCTTCATGAAAGCCAGCAAAGATATTGGCCAAGGCAGGTCCCAAAGGGCTACCCATAGCGACACCATCCTTTTGTTGGTACATTTCATTGTTAAAACTGAATTCAACTGAACGTGTTGCAGTTTCCATCAGTTCAAAGAATACTTCCTCTGGGAATGGTGGGCTATTAAGCTCGCTCCGGTACAAAGCGTCGGCACATATTTTGATGGTCTCATTCAAAGGGACATTAGTGAAAAGACTGCTAATGTCGAAAGAACACATGAAAGATGTTTCGTTTTCGATGTTCAAGTTTTGCATGAACTCAGCGAACGTAAAAGAATCCTTGATGCAATGTTTTGAATATTTTGAAGAACAGGGTCCAAAACTTCAGAAAGCCACTTAGCCAGTTCGTGTTGTGCTGAGCCAATCATAGACAAGATAGGTCTAAGTGGGACGTTCGGCTTGTGTATTTTAGGGAGGCAAAAGTGCCCAGTTTATTTGAAACTACACTAACGTTCAAAAAGTATTGGTACACACTTCGAAACTTCGAAGACATTTTATGCAACAAATTTGGAAAGACTTTTTTAAAACCTTTCTCGTTAAAAATGTGCGGCAGCTATTTCCAGTTTAAATTTTCACACGACGTTTGTTATATCTTTGTTATTATCTTTGTATTGCAAAAAAATTAAAAAAGCGTTCGACCATAAAATTTCATATAGGTCCGAGACGAAAACATGGAAGCTCTTAAAATCATGAACTGAGTTAAGAGAAGCGCTTTACAAATTGCTTTTTACTAAAAAAGCAAATTGATTTCGTGAAATTGCATCAATTTGTCGGCTGTTTCAATGAGTGCAGCTTTTTCTGGTGTGTAAAAATTTTTTCATGACAAGATCAGAAAAAAATTTACCAGCGGGTGGCAGGCCGAAGAAGTTTACGAACGCCGTGGGACGAAAGGTCTTTACTGAGGGAAACTGCGAGAGTGATAGGTTTGAATCCTTACTAGAAATTATGTTGTCATGTAAAAATAAGCTAAATACAGGAACATAAGCAAAAATATGCTATAAAAACCATGAAAAAATACCAATTGTCCAGTTTTATAGAAAGAAAATGCTCTCACATAACAAAAATTAAACATCGCCGACGAATACAATGGCTTCTCCTTGAATGTACACGCAATTTTAAAAGTTAGCTTGAATAAAGCAATAATTTAATAAAATCGTAGCATTTTCGTCGATGAAGTAAACATTTTTTGAAGCTTAAAAGATTAGATTTATAATTTCTTTTATGAGTTTTTTTTGTTATGCAAAAGTGAAATTAAAAAGTTGTATTTTGTATTAGACAGCTCTAAAATTTTTTGGGCAAGTCAGCGACTTTGCCATTGTTAGCGCATACAACCTTCTGCATATTTTGCTGTTATAATCAGGAAAATCGCAAGAATCCTGTGTTTCGTGGTTATGCTTCATAAGTTTGAAGCATTTTCTTAACTTTTTATTCCCTTTTGGGAAACGTAGTCCAGATTATTTGTAGAAAGGACTGCCCAATCTGAAAAGTTTCCGTTGCAAAACCGAATCCAACGCAACGCCATTAATTCTTTATCGAATTCGTCCCAATACTTTTTGAACGTAAGTGTACCATGGATGGTAACACTTCTTGCATTCGAGAGTCAGATTAGGCAAGCCATAACCAATTGTTCTTTGCTGTCATCCTCGGATTGTTTACAGCACTAGGAGAGCCCTTCCATCCATTCAAAAGGATTGCGTTCCTACCAAACAAAAAAAAGCTCCGTCATTTATGAATTTACGTGCCAGTGTGATTCTGGCTACGTAGGACGCACAACCCCCAAAGATTGGGGGATAGGATAAAACAGCATGTTCCTTCCAACATACGAAACAAAACTGCCCCTCAAAGAGAACAGCCTCCTCGATCTTGTAGGTCTAGAAACACTGTTTAAACAAGTGATTCTGCCATTGGTCAACATCTTTTAGAATGACGACATGTTTCGGATAATTGGCAGAGCCCGGTCGTCCTTCCATCTAGCAGTTTTGGAGTCAATCTACATAAAAACGAAAAAGCCGCCATTGTGTAGACAAAAGGAGTTCGTTTTCTCTCTTGGACTCCATTGGTAATTTTTTTTTAGGCTCGCGGCACTGATTGGTCAACTATACCGGTCTTGTGCTTGCGTTTTTCTGATTGGCCTATTTCGATCCACAACTGGGTATATAAATTTCCATCGTGTTTTTTCGGAACCTATTCTGACGTTTTATGCTCTGAGGAGTGTCAGACGAAAAAGCTTTTAGTATGTTGTAAAATGTTTGCTTTTTTCAAAGCCATTTTCAAATTCTGTACCGCAAGAAAATTGTTCGTATAAAGAATATGTTCAGGAATAGCCAAAGGACCCCGTACTTAGGTAAAAATAGGGAATTGGTTCTCTTTGGAACTGTGGTGATCCTTTGGTACTTTTGAGGGGAATCTAAGGACACTGGATGAGAAATCCATCTTTGTTTTGCTCAACTTGTTTTTTGGGAACAACTAAAGAAACTCGAAAAACGTACACGCATCAAAACTTCTAAAGTCTTTTGCGTGGAGGGTACAACCTGAAGGGGCCAGTCTTCATCTAATTTGTTTAAAATAAGAATAGCCTCGCGGGAAACATGTCTAGACTCAGATAAAAAGAATTGAAAAATGAACAATATCTGTTTGGAGATTTGAAAATTTAGAAGACAGATTTTATCAGCAAACCAATCCTGCAACTTAAATGGTTTACAAAACTGTTGTTTAGTTGTATTAGAAAGAATTCATAGTATAAAGTTGTGGAACAATTGAGGTAGATAAAAATACTTTTATGATGCTATCTGGTATTTTTGTCTATTTTGATGAGATAATATAAGCCAAAACTATTTGTGGTAGATTCTATGCTATCATGAAGTATGAAAAGCCGCCTCTTCTTTCAAGCGCCTCCTGTGAGAAAATGCCCCAAAAAAGTTTGAAAAATTTAAAAGAGCAACCAAGGCGTAATATGGTATCCTAAAAGCTCTACACATCAAAAGTCACTTGAGTCAATGCTGTTATCAAATAGATAATTCTAACACAACATTCAAAGATGTATTCAGTTATTTTGTTATTTCATATTTCATGCTGGGAACCAAAGTTTTTTCAAAACCGAAAAATCTAAATAGTCATATTCTCTCCCCGAAAACTTTAATTACTTCATATTTCAAAAACCCTTTATAGGGCCTCTTTTGCTATCGCGGCCGCGTCTTCGCGCTTAATTTCATTGCGGATTGCGGCATTTGGTTGATTTTTGCACGGTTCTGCGGCTTTTGGTCCCCCTATAATAGGCCCCCTGTTTAAGATAGCCAGGACGACTCTGTCGGAATTTCTTCTGCACCTTATACGCTTATGGAAAGTGTGTTGGTGCTATCACGCTCTAAAAATTATATAAGAAATCTCTGTCTAGTGGTCCCTGAGGATCTTTATCTTCTACTGGGCATAATGTTTGTGGGTAAAGTGAAAGATTATCACAGTGATTTTTTGGATAAGCTTGATTGCAGTTTTGGTCATACTTTGCCTGATAGCTTCAATTTTAATGAAAATGTCAGGAGTATGAACAAGCTACTGCGACAGACTGTGTCAACGAAAACCTCATTTATCATTTGAGAATTATGTAATAAAAAACCCCTTTATAATTAAGCTCATTATTCACCTTTGAAGCAACTACTTATAAGACGCTAACAATTAAGTTAATAATTAAACAAAAAATGATAGCGACATTTGGAATGGAACGAAAAGTCCCGTAGACACTCTTATTGCAATCCAGAATTAAGCAATCTTACTGAGGTCTGGCATTGCAATTTAAATCCTTACAATTCTTTGTATTTACAGAATAGAACAACAAATTCATTATGGGAAAACAAATAGATAAACAAGCAAGCAAAGTGTGAAATTGTGAAAAAGCGGCGGTAATATATACAGGGGCAAGGAAAAAATCTCACACATCATTCTTTTCTCTGCCAGTAGACGGAGCTTTTTTTAGAAAATCAAAATAGTTTCAGAGTTAAATCTAAGAAGTTTCTGATCATCAAGTCTACAGCATATGTGTCAAACACATTCGGGCAGGTGTGTAACTATATCTGGCCCGCGAGTTAATTATGATTATTGTGTTTATCAAATGTGTTCAATAAATGTTTATCCTGTTTGGCCCACAACCTCAAGTGCTTTTTGGATTTTGGCCCCCTATGCAATTGAGTTTGACATCCCGGGTCTACAGTTTCAATTTAATTTGAATGAAAGAAGAGCAAGAAATCTTAGATAAACATAGAGGAAATAAAGAATAACTGGTCTTGTCTAAGGTTGCTTATGGATATACAATATACATACAAAGTGTCACTTAATTCATGATATTATCTGTTTTCAATCATTTAGCATTTGTTGGATATTAAAACAAGTGAATATGTTTAGATCCAGGAAAAGTCTTCAAATAAAGGAAATTTTGATGGGTATAAATATCATACTTTATCAAAACTTAGTAAAGTGCAAGAATAAAAATAAGGGTAACTGAAGACCTAGTATAGATATTGGCTGTTAAAAATAATATTTTGAGAGCAGATTATTCAATCAAAGACATTTTTAAATGCACTCATTTATGCTTTACTGTATTGGCTTGCTGATAAAACACCTTAAATAGTGACTCAAGTTGAAAATCTTTAACTACAACATTACAATACATTTCAAACTGAATTTCCGTAATTTATATACATGGTTATCACAAATTATTTCTTAACTATAAAATTAAGCTCCTTTAGATGTCAACACTTTCTTTTGTCTAACTTTACGTGGTATTGGAGTACTTAGTTCTGACAGTCTTGGGTTGGCATGAGCTACTCGCGCTGATGGTGAAACTTTAAACCAGTTTGGATTGTAATCTTCTTGATACTGGCTTCTACTTTTTGGTCTAGCAAGTTTCTGGATTCTCAAAGATGGCAAGGTTTTCTTTGCTTGTTCTGACACAGCCCATGAGACCGAGCGACACTCTTGATATCTGGGGTGCAATGACTTTGGTCTTGCAAGCAGCTGAACTCTCTCTGATGCTTCTGATTTTTTTGCTGCCTCTGGAATATCTGATTCCCACTCTCCCCAGTCCCAGCTTGAGTTTGGTTTTATTGGCAACTCGTTGTATGTTTTTGAACGTGCCAAAATATCCACTCTTTGGCTAGCTTCTGCATTTTTGGCTGCCTCACTGATCTCGGTATAAACAGATTTTTCAGGTCTAAAGTCTTTGTGGACAGCTTTTGCTTCAGACAAGCTTTCAACTCTAGCTGTGGCTGTTGCATTTCTTGCCTGTTTACTCACCACCCAGATTGGGCTTGGCCTGTATCAGAAATCAGTGAAATCAAATAAACTATGGATTGGAATTGTTAAAGCTAGAAAATTTACTGTCACAGAGCTTGAACTAATTATAAAATTGACTGCCTGAAAGTTATTTTACTTGGCACAGAGAAAAAATTGATGAAATTCTGAGAAAAAAGGAAACTGGTACAACATAATTGTCTGAGTTTAAACACCAAAAAGCACATTTTCTTAAGGTAAATGTCTTTTAGGTTTATAAATAGAAAAGAAATGATTACCTGTCACCAACAAAATCTCTATGCCATCCTTTTGGCTGAATCATTGTGTCAAGTCTTGGTGTCATAGCTGTGGGAAAAGAAAAAGGGAAGATATTTTTCTCCATTTTTTCCTGCCAAACCACGGATTGATTGTGAAGGCTTAGTTCAGTTCAGTTCACTTCTCAAAGCAAAAAGGCTTAAGCATTAGTAGCCCTGCTTTACAAAATTGCCAAGGAAAGAGGCTATTTGCTGGCTTCCTACAGAAACTCTTGCTAAAATGATGTATGCCCCTAATATTCAGACAAATCAAAATGTTATGTGTATTTCAGAGTAGGATTTGATGTTAAAATAAGTTTAGAATATTAAAAAATACAAACATAAGCATATGTAATTTCACAAATAAGGCTAGCCAGAAAATAATATGTCTCTACAAGCTCATTCATACATTTGTTGCAACTAAATGAGAACATAGTTCATAGATGCATGAGAAAAACTAAAAGTTTCCTTAAATGTACATTTAATTTTTTCTTACCAAATACAGTTGCTACATTTCCACCATTCCAGTCCTTCACAATGTTATCATAACGGTCCCAATACAAAGACCTCCTGAAGTTAGATAAGAGACAAAACCAACATTTACATGAGGGTTTTAATTTCAACTTTGGACACCCTGGTAATTCAATACAGAATATATGACATATGTCAAAATATATGCCAAGTGAGATAGGACATATAAAATTAAACATAAAATATTGTGACTTTTCAATTTTGACTTGCATTTCTACAACATGTGTTGAAGCTGTAAGAAACGTATATGCCAACAAAACTATGGAGCCTTTATAGGGTGAACCACGTTAAATTGGGACAGGGGAAATTTAGGACACCTACAGTTTGGGAAATTTACTATTGTTATAAGATAACCTATACTTTTGAAATTGTAAAAAATACCATATCCAAAATTATTTGAAGATTAATGAGAAGTCATATCTATCAAGTCAATAAATACACAAAGCCAACAAAAGGGCAAGTTGATACGTCAGTAGATTTGGGGAGAATATAAGTGGCAAAAGATTGCCAGTTATGAAAAGGTCTGAGGAGATCCATATCAAGCCTTAACCGAAATCCTGATCGAAAAACATGACGATGAAATGAAGAGTTTATCGTATGGAGGCTAAATATTGCTTTTCTGGAGTCATAAATGATAATCTTAAGCGATCATGTAGCGGTGATAAATTTTCTTTCGTTACTAACAACATTACAGCTTGATGCATGCTAATCTGATAAACGTAACAATGTTAAAAGTGTGAGCTGGTGGTTGCCGTTGGTTTTGAATACATGTTAAACCACATGTAAAACGAGCTATGCAGTCCATCTACGTATTAAAAATCTTTATTCAGATTAATACATCGCTGTGCAATTGCAAGAAGAGGTCTTAAGATTTCTTGAAATAAATAAATTTGAGTTAAGATCATGAAGTTAAGAAAAGTTACGAACCTGTCGTCCAAGAACCCTTCAGGGACTGGCTTTGGTCGAGACAATTCGTTTATTCTGTCAATTCTTTCTGTAAAGAAAATATGAAAAATAGATTCACCGTCCACGTATAGAAAAATGCTAAGTGAACCAAAAATATAACAGAAAATTAGCACAAACCTTTCTCCGTGGTTGCCATTTTGCGCGCACTGATCGTTACCTGTGACTACACAAAATTGTGACTACGCTTCCCATGACAACAGTTACCCAATCAACCGCAACAACAACAAACCATTTTCTAATCTTGTAGCGAGACGATGCAACCAACTGTTTCAGAGAGCCATTAAAAAAATATCTCAGAGAGTGTCATAAGGTTATATGTCCATATAAAAAGTATCATCAACATGTTAAAATCAACCGTGAAATATTATACCTAGTTTATTTAAATTTATTTCATTTCCCCTCCCCTCTTCCAAAACTGTTTTTGGGGCGTCTCTTCTTATGGGCCCTTCCCCTATGGTCTTCGGCAATATCTGTTTAACTTTATATATTTCTTTATTTTACCATATCATTGAACATATTCAATGCATTAACCCCTAAATTTACTGAGCAAATTTTTATTGCATAGAATCTGAAGGGAGGCTACTATTGCACGGGATATTAATGAACCAGTATTGCGTCGTGGCTGGCTGCATGTAGAAGAGAAGCCCTACAAACCCTTCTATCTTCTGAATTTGCTAGTAAATCTGCCTCGTTATCTCTCGTTATTGACTAATAAGTTAAACGGAGTGCGGGGAAAATAAGATCAATTCAAATTAGCCATAGTTTAAACCAGTGGCGGCTCGTGACTTTCACAGTTGGGAGGGCAGACCATCAATATTGCGATAATCGATAGAAAGGTCGAGTTTGCAAATTTTTCACTGTATTCATGGTTCGATGTTGATCGTCATGGAGCACAGAAGAAAAAGCATATATAGATGTGGTTGTTGTTTAGCGATGATGTCATTTTATGGGCAAAATTTTTCTTGCCCCGAATTCCTCCAAATAAGCCAATCACAGGCCGCGTTTCGCAATGCTCGAGGTCGAAAATTAGCTTGTGCGCATGTCGGCTAGGGGCAAAAAAACTTTGCCTGTAAAATGGCATCATCGCTCAAGGCACTAGCGGGCCAGAAGCGAGGCTAAGGACGAGACGGGATAGCAAGGAGCTTTTTCTAGAAGAGATACAAACCTATATAATTAACCACAGTAAGACTATCTTTAAAATTAAATATGAATATCATAGATTTCCTTTGAATCTTTTTGAGGGGGCATTGCCCCAGATGCCCATTAGCAAGAGCCGCCACTGGTTTAAACTTTGATCGTTTTATGGTGTCAAGGAGTTTTAGATAAAAGCTTTGTATTAGATAAAAGTAAACACTGCAGCTTAAGCAAAGTCAACCTAAAAGGCATATATATTATGATCAGAAAGTGACGTTACTTATTTGTTTGCTAGAAATATAACCTATCAAAAAATATTTCTCAGATACGGTAAATAAACTAACAGAAATAACTCAGATGACCAATCTATTCAGTTAAAATCTCATTTAGCATTCACCAGGGCAGTGGCATGCTCCGACAGGACATGAATGGGGATTCAAAGCGTCCCTTCCCTCCACTAGCTTACAGGTCCAGCCTGACACGACTGGTACCCTAGCTCAGGGCTACGAGCGATGGCCAACGGCTAACTCGGCGGGAGACCGGCAAGGAGGGCGAATGAGCTACGACTCCAGGGGTCAACGGCTTCGGGCGGAAGAACTCCTGGAAAGAGGGATGGTGTCCCTTCAAAAACACTGTAGAGGTGGTTCTAGGGGCCCATCTCTACTATAAGCCCCTTAGTTTTATCTATGACCATGACAACAAACCAAAACTCAGATTTTGGGATAGTTTGAGGGTCATGGTAGAGTAGAAGATGGTACCTGATAGAAGATGGTACCTGATGATGACTTGCCGGGTGTGTGTGTTTTCACGAAAAAAAAAGATTTCCATCGGCAAAGCAATAGACTTTTTGAAAATCTTTTTATGATTATTAAATTTTCCGTTGCCCCCTCACCTCTACTTTCCAACCTGTGTCGGAGCCCCTGTATGATGTAAGGCTGACAGTGGCGTACCCAGGGTTGCCGGTGTGGGGGGTCTGGGGCGTAGCCCCCACAAATTTTTTGGACCACGCCCTTCAAACACTCGCAAATGCGGGGAAACGCCCTTTTTGCAAAATTTCCCCCCATTATTTTATTCATGTTAGCTACGGTAAATAGCAAAGCATTTTACAATTGTTATTGACACAAGCATACAGTATACTACCCACCCCCCCCCGCCCCCCAAGGAATTTTACATCGTTTTTGGACAAATCTCGAGGACCATGTTTTAGAAAAGTGTGGGGGTCCGGACCCCCTCCATTCCCCCTTGGGTACGCCACTGAAGGCCGATCTCGTTTGTTCTTATTATTCGTTCTTAACTTTTAACCAATTTTGAGGTTTCTGTTCTTATGAAATTTTTCTTATAAAAAAAGTGTTGATAGCCTCAGCCAACGTTTGCCCACTGCTGCTGTATTCTCTACCAAAGACATGCGCGACTTCTGATTTTTACGCAAACGGTTGTAAGCCGAGAACCTCATGCCTATGGCCACTTATATGACCCGCACAATTTAACCTGCGTTTTGTAAACCTGCGTGACCTGCGTTTTACACCTGCCGTTGAAACTTGGTTCTTTCAAAATGGCGCTTGTGACAGGCTCATTGGAATTCATTCCGAAGTTAGAGCAGCTGTCCTGCAGAGTGATTCGAGTATTAGGATGCAACCCGATGCCAATGACTTTGCAAGGAACAAATACCTATCTGATCGGGACTGGGCGAAGGTGGGGTTTCACATTTTCATTTCATTTTTCATTATTGATTCTGTGTTTTGGGTCGTTCCGCTATTTAGCGTACGACATTCGGCGGACTAAAATGACTCGGTATAAGAAATCTGTGCTAGAGGGTTAAAAACAAAGGTGTCAACATTAAAGTATACCTTCGTAAGTGTATTGTCGTATGCTTCGTTTTTGTTGTTACGTCTTGTAGAAGCTGAACTGAGCATCACAATGTTGAATTTCGACTTAGGCCATGAGTTAGATTCGCCGTCTTGCAAAAATTTATTTTTACACAATAAGTTTCTCGTTCTTAGGAAGATTGTCCCGAATGCTTGCTACGTAACTTTTCCAATCCCAGTTTACATGCTAACAGAGGATTTGGTAAAATTGTGATCTTCCTTTAAAATTTTACATTTCGTTTCCCATACTGAAGCCTTCCAACTGGAAAACTGAATCCGTATTTACGCAATAACTTTGTCGTTTCTCTATAAACTTAACTGAAACTTTATAAAACATTTTGAATGAACATATCCTTGGCGTAACGAATGTTTTGAGAACTTTTTACGACTTTTGAAAGAAAAAATTGTTTCACTTTCCATACTGAAGCCTTATAAAGTGGTCAGTTTGGGTGACGTTTACGCAATGACTTTTGTAAATCTGGTTGGAATCGTCTGAAATTTCACCAAAGGTCTTAATTTAACCCAAAGTTGATGTTAACGGGGGTCTCAGCAAATGATTTCACGTTTTTAAAAAAAATAGTTTTTCACTTTCCATACTTAAGCCTTATAAAGTGGTCAGTTTGGGTGACGTTTACGCAATGACTTTTGTAAATCTGGTTGGAATCGTCTGAAACTTCACCAAAGGTCTTAATTAACCCAAAGTTGATGTTAACGGGTGTCTCAGCAAATGATTTCACGTTTTTAAAAAAAATAGTTTTTCACTTTCCATACTTAAGCCTTATAAAGTGGTCAGTTTGGGTGAAGTTTACGCAATAACTTTTGTAAATCTGATTGGAATCGTCTGAAATTTCACCAAAGGTCTTAATTTAACCCAAAGTTGATGTTAACGGGGGTCTCAGCAAATGATTTCACGTTTTTAAAAAAAATAGTTTTTCACTTTCCATACTTAAGCCTTAAAAAGTGGTCAGTTTGGGTGAAGTTTACGCAATAACTTTTGTAAATCTGATTGGAATCGTCTGAAACTTCACCAAAGGTCTTAATTTAACCCAAAGTTGATGTTAACGGGTGTCTCAGCAAATGATTTCACGTTTTTAAAAAAAATAGTTTTTCACTTTCCATACTTAAGCCTTATAAAGTGGTCAGTTTGGGTGAAGTTTACGCAATAACTTTTGTAAATCTGATTGGAATCGTCTGAAATTTCACCAAAGGTCTTAATTTAACCCAAAGTTGATGTTAACGGGGGTCTCAGCAAATGATTTCACGTTTTTAAAAAAAATAGTTTTTCACTTTCCATACTTAAGCCTTAAAAAGTGGTCAGTTTGGGTGAAGTTTACGCAATAACTTTTGTAAATCTGATTGGAATCGTCTGAAACTTCACCAAAGGTCTTAATTTAACCCAAAGTTGATGTTAACGGGTGTCTCAGCAAATGATTTCACGTTTTTAAAAAAAATAGTTTTTCACTTTCCATACTTAAGCCTTATAAAGTGGTCAGTTTGGGTGAAGTTTACGCAATAACTTTTGTAAATCTGATTGGAATCGTCTGAAATTTCACCAAAGGTCTTAATTTAACCCAAAGTTGATGTTAACGGGGGTCTCAGCAAATGATTTCACGTTTTGAAAAAAAATAGTTTTTCACTTTCCATACTTAAGCCTTATAAAGTGGTCAGTTTGGGTGAAGTTTACGCAATAACTTTTGTAAATCTGATTGGAATCGTCTGAAATTTCACCAAAGGTCTTAATTTAACCCAAAGTTGATGTTAACGGGGGTCTCAGCAAATGATTTCACGTTTTTAAAAAAAATAGTTTTTCACTTTCCATACTTAAGCCTTAAAAAGTGGTCAGTTTGGGTGAAGTTTACGCAATAACTTTTGTAAATCTGATTGGAATCGTCTGAAATTTCACCAAAGGTCTTAATTTAACCCAAAGTTTATGTTAACGCGGGTCTCAGCAAATGATTTCATGTTTTTAAAAAAAATAGTTTTTCACTTTCCATACTTAAGCCTTATAAAGTGGTCAGTTTGGGTGAAGTTTACGCAATAACTTTTATAAATCTGATTGGAATGTCTGAAATTTCACCAAAGGTCTTAATTTAACCCAAAGTTGATGTTAACCGGGGTCTCAGCAAATGATTTCACTTTTGGGTCTACGCGTCAATATTAAATACTGCCTTACAGCTTGTCCTGTGAATATAAAACAAATAGGAAAAGAGTCCTTATACCAAAGTATATAATAATTTGCAAATATAAATAATTTGTTTACAGTTAGCGCACTAGATTCAAGTTCATATACTCCGGTGGTTGATGTTGTGCCCAGGGTGCATTCCATGTCAACTGTACGCCGAAGCTCCACCGGGGCGTTTGTTTAGGTACACCGAAAATATAAAAGCAGTTAGTAAAACAATTTAAACAATGTTGCACCAGACAAAGAAAACTGATTATTAAAGAAAACTTTGGTGTATGAGTCTTTATTTTACGTTAACTATGTACATGGCTTCATGTTTAGCATGCCAACTAACGAAAATTTTAGGTACACCAAAATATTTTTTATTGGTTTGCACGCCGAACGCCGAAGAAAACCTGGGTGTACGCCGAAGACCTTAAGGCCTAAGTAAATGGAATGCACCCTGGTATTGTGCCAAAAGTTTAGAAGATAACACTTCCATTCATTCAATTTCATAAAGTTTTCAGGAAACCAATTTGATGAAACAAGAGCATCAGCCTCTAGCCATTCTAAAACGTAATGACGGTCATGATTAGTGAAACTTTGATTTTACTCAGTTTTGCAAGCTCTTTCTGTGCACCACTTCCGACCATTAAGACTCTGGTTATAGTTGTCCGCATATCGAGTTTTATCAAAATTACCATCCAGGCCTTCTGGCCTCCAACTGTTGAAATTTTGGATGTCAGAGGCCGGGGAATAAAGTGCTCTATACCGTATAGGCAGAGCTGTACACGCTATTTGGTGTACACAACAGGTTGGTTCTAATTTTCTACTCCGAGTTTCACGCTTCATGGGATCCAAGGAAAGTATGCAACGTTTGTATTTTCATGGAGAGACTCTATCTTCCGAATGAACAGTTCTGACCGATTTCGCGAGCTTATGGTTCCTTTTCTATTGTGGTTAAAAAATCAATAATTTTTCGACGACCTGACATGAAGCGATAATAAGAAATGACTTCAGCCAGAACTCATCCAGAATCTGTCGTTTTTGAAGCATCCATTTTTGAAGCAAAGTTTCGTGTGCTGCAATGCTGCCAGTAGTCCTTTGCTATAGGCCTAGCCAAACTGTTGTGATATTGGCGTTTTTTTATTCTGATTTTACTGTAATCTTCGTATGAATTAGATACAGCTTCAAGTGCTGCAGCTTTTGGTTGGTCCAGCTCTGGATTGTTGTTTTGTTAAATAACTTCAATTTTTTGCGAACATCAGTGGTAGATTAATTAGTAGCATATATGTCTAACAATTTAAGGAAAATATATGACTCATGTATCATGCTTTGCCAACATATTGTTGACAACTTAAATTTTGAGAAAAGTGTTTAGATTTGTTATTCCAACAATTTCGTTTTATGACTCCTTACTACCATTTCTGTCACAAAATTCAGCAATTTGGCTGAAAGCCTTTTTAGTATCTTTTTTCTAGAACAGGCATGTTGATGATTTTACCTGCAGGCACCGCAGAGCGTTGAGAAAAGTGAGGGGGGCTAAAACCGATTAAAAACTGGCTGGACTGGTGATTCATTAGTAAATTTTTTGTATATTTGGCAAAAAGTGGGGGCTATAGCCCCCCCAGCCTCCCTTCTCCTCGGTGCCTGCTAAGCTGCATATGAAAGATGTGCCTAAACAAACGCTCAAATTTCAGACATCGTCGGCTTAATATTTCCCTAAATGTTTATGCCTTTTTAGGAAGATTTTATTGGATACTGGCCACCCAAATGTCCCAGAATACATCGCAAACCTTAAAGATGCCTTGAAAAGGTTCCAATGTACAATTCAAGAAATCCTAATCAGCCACCGGCATTTGGATCACGTGGGTGGAATCGAAGATGTTACCAACCATTTTCCAAAAGGTTTTATAAGCTTTGCGTCTTTTTTTTCATTTTTTTAGTTTCTTTGGTGCTGCTTTTTTCATGAGATAAGAATTCTTCATTTTAATTTTGAAATATCTGTTGATTTTTAGCATGTTTCATTCCATTTTGTTTGCCATGAAGGATTGTAGTGATGTCTACATGTGACAACATTTTTAATCTAATAGACTAGAGTTTTATGATTGTCACCTAATTCTCAAAATGGTACGAGCAAACAGAAATATAATGCATATTACTTTAGTATAGTTTCTTCTTCTTCATCTCATAACACGTCATCGAATGCCGTAGATGGATCGTGATGTACCCCATCTCCGTTTTATCCTGTCTCTTGTTATCTTTCCAAGATATTTTTCAATTTTGAAACCTTATCTCTTTACCTTCCTATTTAACATTTGGACCTTTGTTTTCTCTCACTCTTTACCTGCCATCTCACCCTATATTATCTTTCTTTCTATATTCCTTCTTTTCTTAACTCGTGGCCAATATAAGTACTTTGCCTTCTTCTGACAGTTATCAACACCTGTTTTTTATTCCCAGCTTATCCAGCACTTATTCATTTGTCAGTATCTTTGTTCATGATATTTCGTCATTCTTTACCAGAACCACATTTCTGCAGATTCAAGCCTTTTTCCATTGTTGTACTTATCACCAGTAACTGACCATATATGGCACTTTAACATACCTTTTCTAACATTAAGTCCTATCTTCCATGAACACCCGATTGTCCAAGTATTTTCTAAAAGCTTATGGAGAACAATGAAAGTGATTTGTTCTAAAATTCTAATAGAAAATTGCCGAAATGAAGAATGCTTGATTTTTACCATTTTATACAGAAAACTAGCATTTACTGGGCTTATTGCAACCTTCTTTTAGCTTCCGTGTTGTGATTGTCAGATGAAACAGTTTGTAAAAATCTCTGGCAGCTAGCTTTTATTGTTTCTGTATTTTTTTCTGCAGCTAAGTTTTGTTGAATCGTTCTAGTCACCACATCTAGTAATAGTGAAATGTGTGTGTGCATGAATACTTTCTTATTAAGGAACATTTTAAACCCAGAATCAATGTAAAATGGTTGACAAGGTCGTTTTTATGGATTTTGGTTGTTTGGTTCATTTCAAGAACAAATCTCTTCAGATAAGGGAAGCATCCACATATTCCTTGGAATTCCTTTCATTGGGAAAGCGGGTCTCAATCAACGCTCATACTTCAATCTGTGAAAAAAAACTTTGATCCTTACAATCAAAATATTAAGTCCTTGAGAAAGGCTAATGGTTGGCATTGAAATGCGTTTTCCCAAAAGCATCAGACAGAAACTGTTTCAGAAAATAACGGCTATGTTGTGTCAAAATCCCAGGGGGGGGGGCACTTGGCACACAGACATACGGGGGGGTCAGTCCGATATTTTTGGGTCAAATGTTTGCCAAAAGTGATATTTTTGGGTTAAATATTTGTCAAAAATGTTATTTTTGGGTCCTGCGAAAATAGTAGATACAATTCTGATATTTCTAGGTATCAAATTTAGAAACACTGATATTTTTGGGTATTCGTGAGATTTCCATATCCGAATCAAATGTATTTTTGGGTACAAGATATAAGTAAAACTGATATTTTTGGGTCTTATTGAAAATGAGCTGATATTTTTGGGTGGCCTTTAAATTTCTTGGACTTACTCCCCCCCCTTGTATGTCTATGTGCAGAGTGCCCCCCCCCCCTGGGGTCAAAATGCTACAATGTATAGCAAAGAGAAAATTTACAAGTCATGGGGCAGACATGGGAGAGATGAAAAGTGCAGTTTTTCATTTCGGTGTTTTCGAATCAGTCAACAGCAAACAGCCGACCCCAGTTTTCAAAGATAGAGAGAGTTCATTTTCTCTGTTAGACACTTCAACTTTGCCTTTGCCAGAGGTCAGTCAGCACCGATTGTCCAACCTGGGTGCTCATCAAACATGGCGCTCCATCCGCAACATGGTTTTGGTCATTCTCCTGCTTTTTACAGCCTTTTGCTCATCGTTTGACAATTTGTATACTTTAGTATCATGTATTATGTTTCTGTTTTTTTAGCCATTTTGGAATTATGCTGTACAAAAGCCCCATGTATATATGACTTTATTTTTTTAAGCTTACCTACATTGTCTTACATACTTGTTGCCGTGCCTGCGCACTGGCTGCTTGGCCTGCGCACTTGCTGCTGGGCCTGCGCACTGGCTGCTTTGCTAACCTAATTTTATAAATAGGGTGCAAAGCAACTGAATAATTGGGTTTTACTCCAGTTTAAGCAATTTGTGAGTTTTACAGAACTCGTCTCGTTTTGTAGTGGATGGCTATAAAATATCGAAGTTTCAAGCACCAGATTTTAATGATAAAATCGGAAATGGAAAATTGCAGTACAACTTTTTGAATGATAACGAGGAAATAAAGACAGAAGGTGCGACTCTGAGAGTGATTTACACCCCAGGGCACTTATCTGATCACATAGCCCTTCTTTTGGTGGAAGAGAATGCGATATTTTCAGGGGACTGTGTACTAGGACAAGGTACTGCAGTAAGTGCTAATTTGAGTTTTTCCATTCTTATTCAATTTGCATTAGCTACTGTAAAAGATGTATAATTTTGGGAATCCAGCACTCAAAAGTAACTCAAACATTGCAACTGTGGCTGCTTCATTTGTGTAGTACATGTTCCAGACATTGTGTTCTTACAGCATTTTTTAATTTTTTTATAGTATCAATTTGTAATTACATTTCGAAACATGCTTAAGCTTTTCGTCTGAAACTCTTCAGTGTATAAACCATCAGATTAGTGATCGAAAACTCTAAGCTAGAATATACAAATATATATAAACCCAGTTGTGGATCGAATTATGCCAATCATTGCCTTGCATATTGAAATATCACCAATGGAGTCCAAGGGTGAAAACGAGCTTTTTCTTTCCACACAAAGCGGCGCTTCCATTGCTAGATTCTAAACTGCTAGATGGAACCAAACCCGAGCTCTGCCAATCATCCGAAACATGTCGCCATTATAGTTTTGGCACAAACTGGGTTTTGGTCGATGTTCCAGCATGGTTTCAGACAACAAGCTTGAAAAGGCTGTTCTCTTAAAGAGGCATTTTTGTTTCTTTTGTTGGAAGGATTGTTTTATTATATCCCCAAATCTTCGGCAGCCTACATAGCCAGAATTTTTCTGGCCCGTTAACTCATAAATAACAGAACTCCTTTGTGGTAGTAACGCAATCATATTTAATGGACGGAAGGGCTCTCCTTGAACTGTATGTGATTTTGTATTGCTTAATTTTGAATATAGACGTAAGAAGTATTCCAAAGGTTGGCATACTAGTATGAAGGCGAAACAGGGGCGCCTCCTTTAGCTGCAAATAAGTACTTTACCTCTTTTTCTGGAAAGTGGGGGGCATGCCCCCTGGACCTCTAGTTCCTGCGTCTATGATTGTGAAAGAAATCGAATTGGAGAATTTTATTTGTTTTCGATCCTTATATAAAATGTTAATATATTTAAACCACCCAGCTTAATAACAATTGTGTCGTATTCAATTAAAAGCTGTGTCTTTATTTCACGAAAATTTGTTCTCTTTTGTCTCGAACTGTTTCATTATGTCTTTCCAGAATTTGTTAATTCCCTTTTCAGAAATTTGAAGATTTGCACGACTACATGCATTCATTGCAGAGATTGATAAGTCTCAAAGCGCAGAAAATATACCCGGGCCATGGGCCTGTCGTCGAAAATGCGACTAGCGTTGTTGAAAAGTACGTTGAACACAGAAATTTGCGGGAAAAACAGGTTTGATTTTTGTTAATTTTTGCCCATTGATATTTCCTATTTTTCCTGTTGTTCGGGAAATCAATTCAAATAATTCTCCTATTTTTTAATTTCCCAATTTGACAATTTCTCATGCAACACAATTGATTTTTGTTTTATTTCTTCACGATTGTTTTGCAGATTTTGGACACGATACGATCGTCAGCAAAACCCTTGTCTGCATCTGCGCTTGTGAGAATCATTTACGTCGTAAGTGGTTTTTTCTATTGGAAATCTCTAATGTACAAAAACAAGAGAATGTATCCGCTTCGTTATATAAAGAACCCGAAGAAAAGAATTCAGATTAAGTGTATCGTTTTCCTGTATTCTTTCTTTGCTGGCCCGTACAGCATTTTGCTACTGTGCATTTTGTAGGGCATTCTGCATTTTTCCAAAGGCGCTTTTATTTTAGTTTGCTAACTTTTTTGGTCATAGAACTTCTTTATTCAAATAATTTATATTATCGTCTAACTATCTTTGTATCAAGTTTATGTAAGCGTAATCATTATTTTGCTCTTGGTACAATGTCAAAGTGGCGTGAAACAAAAAACTTTTTATCACATAAAGTACTTGTAGGCATTTGCAGTAACTAGAGTTTGCTGATATGTTCGACTGGCTGCAGATCCGCGTTACTGTGGCTATTCGTCTTTGTATCATTGTTGTATCTTAGCTGATTCGCCAACTGCTGCTGATTTTTACACATTTTCGAATCTAAAAGGAAAGTCGAAGTCAAGGTGGTATCAGTAATTCCAAAGTGCTGGTTTTGTGACATTTACATAGACGTCCTATTTTTCAATATAATTTCCTAAAATTGTTTTCAATTAGCTTATTTTTGTACATTAGGATTTGCGGTCGGTGTGTTTTATATTTCGTGTCAATTTTGTTTATATAGGTTACAACATATATAGATTTGATAAATGCAAACACGTGACAGTGTCTAGAAATAGATGCAGAGGTCATCTTGTCATTTTTTCATGAAAATTATCGTAATTGATTCCAAATAAAAATAATATATTCTAAAAAGTCTAGTATTTGATATGATGGATTTATGGGCTTATTCTTGATATAGCGTACAATTGGGTTTTCCTTGTCACCGCCTAAGTGAATGTGCGTTGTTTCCTCGATGTTCATTCTCATTTAAGGACACAAGACCGGAGCTTTACCACGCAGCTGAAGTAAATGTCGAGCATCATCTAAAGAAGTTGGAGAAAGAAGGAAAAATTGGTTTGTTTTTGCATGTTTTACTAGTTTGAAGATTAAGATTATATGGCAGCTTCACTTTTAACATTTTTTACCAAAGTTCGAAAGGCGAGGTGCTCGTACCAGGGATATCAGCGGGGAAGGAATGGATGAAAGTCTGTTTAAACCACACGGAGGTTAATTTAACCCTGAGTTATCGATCAAAATAAAAAAGAGCCACTTAGAGGTGAGACACAAAAAGGCTGCCGACACAATCCACTAAAAATGAAAATAATGACGAGCAGAGGACATCAGCTCAGACAAATGTAAATATGATTAATTCCATTACCAAAAATTGCAATGTCGTAGAAGTGAACTAGCAATCATGGTGCTAAACTTCTTTGCCACTGAGGATAGGCAACGACCATAAAAACGAACGTATTACAAGATCTCCAAATCTGTAGTTGAAGGTAGTAACAGATTCACAACAAACGAATACTGGAAGCAAGAGAATAAAGTGCTAAAGAGGTTTCGATTACAAAGTATTTAAAATCTAGACCCCGAAGCTTAAAATAAAGACGGCTAAATGGCGTCCCGGGTGAGAGATTTTCGTGCGAAAATTTAGTTATTTCTTGTCACAGTTTCATATCTGAGAAAGAATTTTTGAAGCACTCCCTTTGGATAAAGATTGGGTAAACAATCTTTTGGTGGTACAGTACTTAAAAATGGCTTTGAAAAATAGCAAACATTTGAGAAAACTAAAGCTTTTTGCCTGCAGGATTGGGTAATATTATATTTTCAAAGTTTGTAGAACATTTTCAGTAAACTGCGTTATGTTATGTCTTCATAGGCAACCAGCACACTATTGACTGTCCACGTTTCTAAGTTAATAACAGGTAATTCCGCTGTATTGCTTTCGGGGCCTGGGGAATATTTGACCAAACCTATTGCAAATTGCGATTTTGGATCTAACCTAAAGACAGGCTTCGTTTTGAAATCCCTTGAAGAGAAAGGGAAAGACGAAAAAGTTGTGAGCACTATCAAAACATGCGTTTAGATTAGAAATAGTTTCATTTTAAACAGTTACGTTTTGTTATTTCAATTAGAAGCATTCGAAAATTTGGTGCAAGTTTGGAACCGTGACAAAACTGTCACGGTTCACCCTTCCGTTTACACTGGCACTGTGGAACCGAGACGATTTTGCTCTGCTATCCGGAACAGTTTTTCACCCTGCTTTGAAAGCGAACGAATTTCGTACCGTCACGGTTCCGTTTTTGAACGGGACAGTGTAAGCACCTATCCGAGACGATATTGTCACGGATTCACAAAGAGGTCTTTTGTATGGCTGTTTGAGGTAATCGAGGCTTTGATTGTGGCGTAACTACGTTGTCAAATTCTGAAGAAAAGGACATTCTGAAGACAAGACGACGACAGAAAAAGCTTGTAGTGTTTCCCAGTTCAAGCCTTCATTGGACTTTGCAGTTTTGTAGTCTAAAATAACACTGAAAATTAAAGCCACCTTGTCGTCCGTCCAAGTAAAGTTTTTATCGGCCTTCCGCTCCATTTTAGCTCTCAATAAAATTTAGATTGTTGACTTCGGCGGCAAAATAAAAGCCTCGGTTGACTAAATACAGCTTCTTCTAAACATTGTTCTACCATTCAATTAAGGTCGTACTGGTACAGTGTAAACGGAACGGCTAAACGGAACAATTTGGAACCGCGACAGTTTAAACACTTGCGAACCGTAACGGTACAAATTTGTCCCGGGACAGTGTAAACGGGGTCTCAACACAACTTTTGATTATTTGGGAAATAATACATTATGGGCAAGTCCTATACACGCTTTCCCTTCCTTTCGGATGGATCAACGAATTCACACTCGAATTTATTGTATAAGAAAACTGCTAGATTTTGAATTGAAATTATTTGATGATTAAGTGATTTTTGGTACAATTTTATTCGTGGCGATTGATGTCAGTTTTCATTACATTTTGCTGCTGTATTTTTCAGAGCTGGTTGGTTCATTGAAAGAAAGCAGATGGAAATGTCGATTGTGAATTGAGTAGGAAAGAAATACCTTTTGCACGCCCCTTTGCTAGCTGAGTAATGGAATCGTTTACTATTTGGCTTGCCGTGAATGCTAAGGTGCAATGCTATCAAGGATGTTCAACTGAAACCGGAATTCAAACTAATCGGATAATGCAATTTAATACTGAATGAAAAGAAATAAGTTATAGCCAAATTTAGATTTTACATTTTTATAGAATTTATTCCTTTTGAATGAGTTGAAAGCTAGTTTTTAATCAAAGAACTTTTTATGCAATACCTGTCATGATAGTGATGTCGTCATAAAGCCTATTTTATCTTTCTGCTGCTGAAAAAGTGTTTAGGTTTAGATCTAAGACGCTTTTGTGTGGTTTGCCTTCTTATCAATTATGACCAAACGAGGAGAGCTCCCTTGATACGTGGCTCGAATGGCTAGCCTGTTCTTGTAGTTGCCGTGGTAACATATGATGTGCGAGGACATAAGATGATAGTTCTCGTTGTATCTCACAACATTGGATTCTCGTCGCCGTTTTGATTTATTTCTTAATTTTATCCTCGTATTAATAATATACTCATTGCAAGATTCACAGAATCCGGCGGACAGCCTATCCTGCGGTTCTTCCTTCTCACACATAAGATGATAGTTCCCTGTGATTATGCGATTGTCTTTTCGTCAATATAGGAACTAGTCAGTGACTGTAGTTCTTAAACCAAAATTGAAAAAGAAATTCCTTATATAACAATGTGTATCTTTTATTAAAAGATTTTATGTATAGAATTGAGATCCGCGAAGAACTAACACTCTTTATAAAGGCATACTTTTTGCAGAAGCTCAGCAATGTTGATGCTCAATCTTTGTTATTATACTCAATATTGTACTCAACAAATTATCAGCTTTGATTGTATTGCATCATACCATTGAATCCACATTGATGCAATCATACATACAACATAGACAAAAGCATTTAAAGTTAAACCCAAAGAATAATGTAAAGAACTGAAAGGAATTCTTGAATTTTTAGTATCTATCTACTTCAAAGCGAATTCCAGTTCCTATTCCTTTCAAAGCTAAGTTTCAGTCTCTATGATTTTCTTAAGACCCTTCGAATAATGATTTTAATTTTCTTACTTTTACATATAAGCAATTTAGTCTCCCTTGGTATTTGCATCTTCCAATCCCTACGCCGCTTGAAACGCAAATATTTTCACCTGCATGAAATATTTTTTAAAGGCTACAGAATATTAAGTGTAAGTCGTCTTCATGCAGGTGGCCGAAGGTGCGGACACGAAAGAATTGAAAGAATCATGCGTATCGAAAGAATCATGCAGTGGTTTAGTAGTACTTGGATCATCGATGAACAAAGGAAGTTTTTAGCAGACCTTCCACTAATGCGTTTGTTGTTGAAAACATACTAAGGAAATTTTTCTTGCCAAACTGACAGTTGATATTGTTTATAACAGGAGCTTGTGCTATTTGCGTCACGTCTAAGTAAGGATTTAAGGAAATTTCAGTGAATAGTTCCCCAACAACGCCCAAATTTAAGTTGTTTTTCTTAGGTTCTGAAGCAGAATATCTGGCAATGAAAAAATACAGCAATATATTTTCCAAAAGAAGGCACTTTTTACACCTTTCTGCAATCGTGGCTCCGGCGGCCCTCTTTACAGACTTTCACTCTTTGACTTGGCTCACAATTGTTAAGGCTCACTCTTTATAAAAAGCTCAACATTATTAAGGCTTACTCTTTATAAAGGCTCATCATTGTTGACACTCACTCCTTATAAAAGGTTCACCATTGCTAAGGACCACTACAAAAGACTCGCCATTGTTAAGGCTCACTCTTTATGAAAGGCTCCTTTTTTAAAAAGGCAACGGAAACAACTTCGAGGTCTATTTGCTTAGTTTTGTAACATGACTTATTTCTAGTTGTTTAGTTGCTCTTTGGGTCTCCAGATTGTTTTTGGTGTTCTTCAGCTATTCTTTAGCATTGATGGTCAGTGTTTATGTCCCCATTCTTGTTTTATTTTTTCAAAAAATTTTCAATAAACGCTTTTCTATACTTGATTCGCCTCTCCAAAATTCGCCCCTCATTGAGCCAATAATTTAGTTTATTATATCAATTAATTCTCAAAGTTCGTGCACAATAAAGAACCATTTCGAGTGTTCCTCGAAAATTCGCTGCGCAAGAATATGTTTTATTATTTTATAAGCTGTCAAATATTTCGCAAAAAACATTTTGGCTGGGGCTAATTCAAGGGGGGCTTATTCAGAGGTGCGGGCTTGATCGAGGATACGCTGTTGTGTGTTTGCGCTCCGTGGAAACTGTGGAGGAGGCTGGACAGACGCCGAGGGAGGCAGTTTGAAGCCGAAGCCAGTCCAGGAGGTGCTTCATAGTCATGGTATCATTGAGCGATAATATAAATTATTAACAAGGAATGTTCATAATTAAATATAGCTCATAATATCTGATTGCCCAGTCTTCTTCGCCTTTAAAAGAAGTCACCTTTCAGTTAGAAGTCACTTTGCTGCTGCTGATCGTTGGCAAGGGGGAGTAAAGAGATTCACTGCAGGCCGTGACTGTCATAAACGTACCTTTTTCTAGAAACCAAATCATGGCTTCGACGTGTTCCAGGAAACCCCAAAACGGAATTGTGCAAGCCATCCTTACCGATTTATACCAGGTATCTATGGCTTATGCATACTGGGAAAGTGGCAAACGAAATGAACATAGTGTTTTCGACTTGTATTTTCGAACAAATCCATTCCAAGGAGAATTTACAATATTTGCAGGGTTGCACGAGTGCATCAGTTACTTGCAGAATTTCAAGTTCACAGAATCGGGCAAGTATTAAAACTTTGCGATTTCCGAAATTGTAGATTGTGTTAGAGAATTATCGTGTTCCTTTGCCAAACGCAATGAGAAATAAAGTTTTTTTGAGTTCATATGACATTACGTCCAATATATCACTCTTCCTTTTCATTGTAAAGTTCTTAAATCGCATTATATTTTGAAAGCTCTGTTGAATTGTGTAATCGTTTACTACCCCTTTTTGCAGTGACACATGATATTTTTTTAAGAGTCTGAATTACTGACTGGTTGTGTCCAATCTGTTTAGGTTATATCCTTTCATTGTGTTGATTTTCTCTTCGCTAAACCTGGACTTCTAAACATAAAAGTAAACATAATCATATCAAGTGTTGAATAAATTCTATAATGATCTTTTTATTACAATTTATGATTATGAACAATTAAAGAACGTCAAAACGAAATCACAGTCGCAACTGTTAAACTGAGATAGCAACATTTAGCTTTAGTCAAACTTAAACTTACAATCAATTTGATTAATTCTAAAAACATGCGAAATAAGAAACAAAATCATTTTATTCTCACAATTGTAGGCATGGGAGCTCTTCTCCACTGGGTTTCTTAATCCATTGCAAGTACTTATGCTTATGTTTATTGCCTCTTTTAGATATTGAGTATTTACAAAATGAAGTGCTTCCTAAAACATGCAAACAAGAGTTTTTTGATTACCTAAGAAACCTTACGACTAAAGATGTGACATTGTATGCCATCCCTGAAGGCACTGTTGTATTCCCAAGAGTTCCATTGTTAAGAGTTGAAGGACCACTTCCAGGTAAAGTTACAATTTTTAATTTTTTTGTTTATGCTGTATTCAGCATACATTTTGATAGCTCTAGTAGGGCACGATGGTAATATTTGAGAATATTTTTCATTAAGTTGATTCAACTTTTATGGATGTTCTCCACCATTAGATCATTTCAGAAAATTATTGGGCACATACCTGTTTGCAATTGAAGCTATGGAGCATGACTTTAAACCGTTATATTTTGTGTGCAAGTACAGTTGAATTACTTCCTGTGAGTCAAAATTAAGAAATATGCCATGCTAAGGAATGTGCTTCTGTTTGAACTTCTCAGCCATTCCTTGAACAAGATAGTCATTAATCGATTGTAACAAATAAAGTGTTAAACACAACAAGAATCGAGAAACCAAGAAAATCTAAAGGTAGTTTATTGGGCTATTTATTAGCTATTGTTTGTTTATTTTTGCGGGTCCTCAAAATTAGAGAAATGTATCAGGTTAGTATAACTGATCAAAAGCAAGTAAGAGACCTCCTTTGTTATGAAATGAAAAACTGAGTGTTTAAGAAATTTGATTCTTTGTTTTGGTAACCAATGAATGTTTGGACAGACTGCCTTTAAGGGGAATGGAAAAAAACTTTCCTGAAATGTAAATTTAAAGTAGAACCTTAAATATTTCTGTTTATGCACATTAAGGCCACCTTAAAGGCAACTTTAAGTCATCAATTAAGCTTTATTGAAAGATTATATGGATAAACAGAACTATTTCATGCTGCACATTTACAGTTCATAAGATGCTTCAATTGAATATCATTTTATGAAACAACAAGCAGCTAGTATAGTGTCAGTGTCAGTATAGTATAGTATACTGCTATCAGAAACATTCTTCAAAACATGAGGATGAATCAGATAAGATTAATGCAGGACCTGATAAGGTCGCCAAAGTATTGGTGATAGGATGTATTTAATATATTCTGTTTTGTCAGTTACAGAGTTGATTAGGTTCTGTTTTACTCATCACTTCTCTTTATTGTGAATTCATATTTCTAAGAAATATAATTTTGCTTGTTGACTAAGATATATTTAATTTGTTCTATTATTCATGTTTGGTATTTTCACACATGGCTAAGATCATCTGCAAATACTGATGTAGTATATACATTATTTGAAATGGACACTCTTGGGTAATTTAGGTCGGAATATGAAATATACAGTTAGCAGAATTTTGGGCATAGCATTAATTAAGACTTTCTACATGAACTATTTTTCATGTTTTATGAGGTGTCAATAGTAAAATAAAGGACCGTGAAGACATAAAATAAAGTTAAATACAAATTACAGCAAAAATACAATATATGGTTCTTAAAGAAATAGGCAGACAAAAGAATCTGTTCATTCAGGCATTTGCTGGATATGAAAGATACAGCTTGAGCCATCCAGTATTGTCTTCTTTAATTGGCTATAAGCTGCTGATAGTTTATTAAATAAATCAAGCATGAATTTTTTTCTGGGAAAAACAAATAGTGTTCTTTAATGATGACATAACAAAAATCTATTTTTTAAATTTTTGAATTTTTCCTCTAACCTGAAAGAGCAGCATCAACTACCTCTAAATATGCAAAATCAGATATGGTCACATGAGCACAGCCACTTTTCCCATCAAACCTTTCTGGTTGAGTCTCTCTTCACAATTTTATGAAAAGAGCCAAAATAACAGTAATCCATTAGCAAACTAAATTATTTTATTGACAATGTCTTACCTAATTTTTGGCATATTCAACTGTTTTTTGTGTATTTTGTGGTGTTTTTGTTTAGAAGTATTTTGTGGTGTTTCTTTAGGCTATGTCGTCAACATTCAAAAATTCAAAACTTTGATTTTTTATGATTGTCAAGCTGTTTCAATTACGTTGCTCACTGACTTGATTTGCGACATGGGAGTACTTGATTCTTATTTAATTGCAATATATTATTTTCGGAGAGTACTTATTTCCCAAATGTTACTAGACATTTGCACAAAACTGAGAATGTTTGTTTTTTTGCTGCTGGGGCATTCTGCCTGATTTATACCCGAAAGTGGCTCGATTAAAAAGATTATGTTTGTAAACTATTTTCGCCCGTAAATCAGTCAAGGTTCGCGTTCTTTGAATCCTTTTACCACATTATTAAGGTTTCTGTAATTAATTCCCGTTTGTTCATAACACATAGTTCGCAAAACCTCTTTTGTTAAAAAAATTAATTGTCCTTCCTGATATCTTTTTGAGGTGAAATGCGTTTATTCATATCAGAAGGCGCCGGAGTCATGGGCAAATCACGAATTCCCTTTCATTCGTTTTACGCAAGATAATTTCACGTGTAAACGGACAGGTTAAAAATGATAATCTCTTGTTAAAGGCCATCTTTAAGGAAATCAAGAGCAATGGCTCTACTTTGATTCCTGTGAAATTACACGTAGGTTTTCGGGACTCGTTTGAAATCATAAATTACTCTGATTGCTCTATTGTCGAGGTATTGTCATGCTTCTAAGGCAGGTGCATCGTACCTGGCCCTACTGCTGCATAGCCAAATGCGTTTGAGTTAAAGAAACGTATTGATCGGAGCATTAATGGATTACTACACCGTCTCACCGATGACAAGTTATTGCAAACAGACTAGTAAAATTGTACATCAAGTAAACATCCTTTTTTTGAAACTAAAGCAAGAATCAAGTAAACATCCCTGCACAATAAACAAACATTTGTTCACTACCTTTCCTCTAGCAACAAATTCTTTCTTTTTAAAGCGTTTTTTCTGTTTAAATGCAAGGCGAGCTTCTTTGCCCTTTTCAAATTTGCTTTTCAAGTTCTCATTGCAGTTTTGCAAATAAACGCATTTGCGTAGGTTTGTAATCGGTGCAATGTAGCCAAAGAATAAAATTGTCTTGAATTCGCTTCTAAGCCAAATTGTCTATCGCACCAGCTGTTAGAAGCACAATGGCTATAGATCACTGGCAGCCCAGCCCTTAATTTTTTCTTTCAGAGCCGGTCTCTTTATGATATGCATATGCGTCCTACTCTCTGTGTCGAAAAGAAAGTTGCAAAACTGCATTCCATATTTTCCGCTCGACTTTCTCATCGAGTCTTCTCAACCGCGTTCTGCTATGCAATGGCTTTTCAGTTATTTTCAAATAGCCTTTTCAAACGTCAGCTTTTGATGCTGGGGGGTGTCAACCCAAGAAATGCAGTTCCCCCATGGTTTGGAACTCGTTTATTCTGTTATTCTTTGATACTGCCTATTTTTCAAATAAAGGTTCTGCCATCATGTAATACGGCTTCTAAATTCCCTATTTTGAAAGTCAAACTATTTGACCAGTTACCAGTTTCTGTAGCTCAGCAAAGTGATGGCCAGAATGAAAAAACACCATTCTAAAATCTGCGAGGAAGTTAATTGGAAACTTAAACGTGTTAAACCGTGTTTATTATTAATATTGAAGAAAATCGCAACGTCATAGCGTGACACGTTTAAAAAATATTGTCCTGAAAAGATGTTAAAAAAGTGTATCTTAAATACGTTAAATAAAAGGAAAAAACAATTTCCTAAACCAACTTAATGCATGGCACAATTAAAAACGGCTCATTGAATTCATTAAAGACCGTTAAATGCGATTTTATTCTTTAAAAATATAACACTTATTAGTTTAATAACATTCGTGTTAATGGGGATTCGCGTTATTCAGCGGGCTGCTCGAGGTTGGAATGTTGAATTTTAACAATTTGAATTCGACGAAATAACCCTCCAAAAGTCCCTTACTGGAACTTAAAAGACCCTCGATATGTAAGAATTTATGTTCAGCTAAAGTTCACCGCTCCATCTGTTTTCCAGTACATATTTAAAAATTCGTTCGCGCATTACGTCATCACAACCTTTCACAAACAGTACACTAAGTTGAATGCTGTTGCAGTATTTGAATGCGATTTGTTCAATTCTTTTGCAGTGGCCCAATTGCTGGAAACTACTTTGCTCAACTTGGTCAATTATGCTAGGTAAGCTTTCTCACTAAACTTCTTCACAATATGTTTTATTGTTACACTTAGTTTTTCATCTTTTATTTTTTTCTTTCGTCTCACAAAATGATTTCACAGGGTAAAATTTTCTTTTTCCAGTTTGGTTGCAACGAATGCAGCTAGATTCAGAATTGCCGCTGGGAAGGAAAAAACCTTGCTGGAATTTGGTCTGCGGAGAGCACAGGGGCCTGATGGAGCACTCTCTGCCTCCAAGTATTGTTATATCGGAGGTGATTGTTTACAAAATCCTCCATTTACACAATCTATGCAACTTTTTGATATTATGTAAACAACGATCATTATACATAACACGATGATTCACCTTGATTCACCTGCTCTGGCCAAACAATCTATGCAACTTTTTGTATATCTTTCAACATCATTTGGTGTTTATATAACACGTGATTCAAAATTGATTCACCTGCTCTGGCCAAATTCGATTAATCTGTAGATATCTTTCACAACTCCCTTGGTGTTTATAAACACGTACAAAATGGGTATAATTATGACCCTTTCTTGTATGTATGAATCATGCTTCATTAAAGAAATAGCAGATTTCCGTTTGCGTAAAAGGCAGAAATTGGCAGATCACTAGTTTATAGAGAGTGTTTAGCCATTTCATTGGTGTTCTTCAGGGACCATCTCTAGGTTTCTTGTTTTTTTGAGTATACTGATGATGTAGTTCAGTGATTTGGTGCGAAGGATGCAAGTATGAGAGATTTGATTGTCATCTGCACTTGAGGTAAAATGAGTTGGTGAAATTACCTTCGCACAAGATAGGAATATCAGCTAATTTTATCTTTATTATTTCAGGTGTCTGTTTCGTTATTTATTATGTGCCAAAAATCACTGCTGTTTAGCGTTCGTGATTCATAGTGTATTCATAGTGTGTAGACAAAACTTAAATTTGTTAACAGTTCTTGATTAGCTTCTGAATTTATTCGTTAATTCCCGTCTATAATATATTCGTTAAGTCCTCTGAATGAGTTCTCTTAAATCCTCGTTAAATCTTCATGACTGAAGTCTATTTTTTTATTATTTCTTTTATTAATTGTTTCAGGATTTGACGGCACAAGCAACGTTCTCGCTGGAAAAAAATACGGGATCCCGTGCAAAGGAACTCAAGCGCATGCCTTTGTGTCTTCTTTTCTTGACAATGATCAACACCGTGTTGGCAAGTTAACGCCTAAAGATGGCGGTGAGGAGCGAGAACTGTTTCCTATAGCTAAAAACTGGCTGGAGAAAATTGCCCCCGTTCTTGACATCCCAGCCGACCAAACGAGTAGAAGTGAACTTATTGCCTTTTGTGCATTTGCAGTTGCGTTTCCTACTAATTTTCTTGCGTTGGTTGACACATACAATGTTATCAGGTCGGTTGATTTCGTCTCACGTCATATCAGTTAGAAATTTTTTAAGGTCATACTTATTGCTGATGATGTGAATTTAAAGAACTGCTCTACGTCAACAGCAGACTGTTTTTTGCAAAGGCGCCACATTGTTTGCCATCTTAAACTCTTTCTTGTTATTATCTGGAGAAAGCCAGGGCACTTTCCAAGATGTTGCGCAGTATTCTGTTATTAAAACTCTTTTCACGATGATGATCATCATTGTCTATTTTTTATTTTTTTGCCCTTGTCTCTTTTTTGTTTGCCAGTTTCAATCTGTTCAATCGTTTTCTACCATCTGATGTTTGATTGCTGAGACTCATTAAACTCGTTCTAGCTAAAAAGTCCTTCTTTGTTCAACTGAATTATTCAGTTGGCTCAAATTGAAATGTTTTCACGTGTTTCCTAGGAGTGGCTTGCCTAATTTTTGTGCTGTTGCGTTGGCCCTGAATGATTTTGGTTACAAAGCTGTTGGCATCAGACTAGACTCGGGGGATCTTTCATATCTCTCACAAACTGTGCGCCAGAAGTTCGTTAACATCGGGGATTTGTGAGTGTTCTCTGTAATGTCTTGTTTTTCAGCGTAACATTTTATTTTACGTTATTTTACGTAAAATTTTGATAGGTTAGGTTAGGTTGGTATGATATATGGTGGTCATATCAAAATTTTCCTTTGGGAAAATGCATAGCTTGCTCAAAGTTCGTGCAAATGCCGTTGATTACTTTACGTTACAGCTTTCTCCGAAACGTATACAGCTTTCTCCCTACAAGTAATCTCTCTACAAGTACCGGCCGAAAAACAGTAATCTTCATTTTATTTATACCTGACTAAGTGACGAGAAGAGGAAAGCCAAGATAACAATTTTAAATTAGTTTTAAGCCCTTTGAATCCTGTATTTCATGACTGTAAGTTATATTGTTTTCACTAAAGAAGAAATGATTTCATCATTTATGTTAATCAAATGTCATTTTAAGTCAGTTTAAGTTGTCATTGGGCATTGGGCAAGTTAAATTCTTCTTCCCTTTCATTAGATATTAAGTTAGATGCTAATGTGTGCAATCTAAATACACAGTCTTTCCCTTTCAGTACAAAAAATGAATGGTTTCGAAAGCTCCTTATTGTCGCAAGCAACGATTTGAATGAAGAGACAATATACTCACTGCAGCAGCAGGTAAATTTGTAACAATTTCACGTGCAACCGCTTTCAGAATAGCACGTCAGCATTTTTGCATTCATACGCGAGCATATTGAGAATCACGCGTAAGCGTTTTTAGAATCACATGTCAGCGTTTTTAGAATCAAATGTCAGCGTTTTTAGAATCAAATGTCAGCGCTTTTAGAATCGCATATCGGCATTTTTAGAATCAAGTATTAGCATTTTTGAAATTATACATCAGCATTTTTAGAATCACATGTCAGCGTTTTTAGAATCAAATGTCAGCGTTTTTAGAATCAAATGTCAGCGCTTTTAGAATCGCATATCGGCATTTTTAGAATCAAGTATTAGCATTTTTGAAATTATACATCAGCATTTTTAGAATCACATGTCAGCGTTTTTAGAATCAAATGTCAGCGTTTTTAGAATCAAATGTCAGCGCTTTTAGAATCGCATATCGGCATTTTTAGAATCAAGTATTAGCATTTTTGAAATTATACATCAGCATTTTTAGAATCACATGTCAGCGTTTTTAGAATCAAATGTCAGCGTTTTTAGAATCAAATGTCAGCGCTTTTAGAATCGCATATCGGCATTTTTAGAATCAAGTATTAGCATTTTTGAAATTATACATCAGCATTTTTAGAATCACATGTCAGCGTTTTTAGAATCAAATGTCAGCGTTTTTAGAATCAAATGTCAGCGCTTTTAGAATCGCATATCGGCATTTTTAGAATCAAGTATTAGCATTTTTGAAATTATACATCAGCATTTTTAGAATCACATGTCAGCGTTTTTAGAATCAAATGTCAGCGTTTTTAGAATCAAATGTCAGCGCTTTTAGAATCGCATATCGGCATTTTTAGAATCAAGTATTAGCATTTTTGAAATTATACATCAGCATTTTTAGAATCACATGTCAGCGTATGGCTTTTAAATCACGTCCTATGGCTTTTAAACCCACATGTCAGCTGATTTAGATTGAAGCGTCAGTGATGCGTCAATTCACATGCTAGCATTTTTAGGGCCATATAATAGCCATATAATAATTTTAGAGACTTTTTGTTCATTTTTCAGGGCCATGAAATTGACTCATTTGGTATTGGAACGCACCTCGTTACATGCCAAAAGCAACCTGCGTTGGGGTGCGTGTACAAGGTAAATCAAAAACATTTTTTTGGGTCTTGAGAACATCTATTTACAAATGTATTTATTTTTGTTATCTTCATATTTTGATACTTGCCGACATTTGTGCTTCGTTAGAAATGGATAAATTCCGAAAAAAACTAATGTTTTTTTTGTTTGATCACGCAGCTTGTTGAGATAAATAGAGAAGCAAGAATGAAAATAAGCGAGGAAGTGAAGAAAGTAACCATTCCTGGCCACAAAGATGCATATAGACTGTACGGAGCAGATGGTGCGTAATGTTAGTCCTATAGTAGTAGGCAGATTGTTTGAGCTTGGAGGCCGTGGATTTGATATGACTGACAAAACAAATGCTACAACATTATATTTCTTTGCATCAATGTTATAAAAAAGGCGTTTTGTTTTTTGCATAGGCCGCGGAAAATTTTGAAAATTATGTAGATAAATTTTTGAGGTGTCGATGATCACTGTTTGCTAGGCAGCGAAACCACAAAGAACTGTGAATGGTCTACGCAGTTGTGAGTGAAATACAATGATAAAACCCTGGTCAAACGATCCAACATTTCACCCAACATTTCGCCCAACATTTTTCTTTTATGTTGGAATGTACCCAACGATAATGGTCAAACGATCCAACATTGCGCATGCGCAGAGTCAACAAAGTTGGCTGAGGTGGTCAAAACAATGGAATTGTTGGACGTCGGCAGCCAACATTTTTGACCTCAGTCAAATTTCGTTTAACATCGAAATTTGCGATGTTGGGTGACCCAACAAGGTGGTCAAACGACGAAATGTTGGGCGAAATGTTGGGTGAAATTTTGGATCGTTTGACCAGAGCTTAAGTGTTTTTCGTGTGGCAGCTTTGGGAAAAAGTTTAGAAAAAGTAAAAATGTATAGTGTAGTTGGGTGTTACATCATTTCTTGTCAATTCCAAATGCAACTAACTGTAAAACCTGTACCTTAAATTAGAATTACGGCCCTAGCACATGCACTAATGAAAGAGAATGCTGCAGTTCACCCGCTAATAAGGACTGCTTCCAAAGTATCTCAGACCTACTCATAGTAGTGAATGAACATTTCTAACATTTTCAGAGGCAGATTTCAGATTTTCAACAAATGTTTTGCAAATAAAACCTTTTAAAAGAAAATTCCCTTCCAAATCTTGAGTAGGCTAAATTGATATTTTTCTTCCGCCGGTGCAGTTGGTGGCGATTTCAACTCGCGCCGCTTACTGTTAAAGCACTGGTTAATGACGGATTTTCCCAAGAAATATCAGTATTCGAGATTTTTCTTTCTCTACTTTGTAGGAAAGGCCCTTGTTGACTTGGTCCAGACAGTTCAGGAACCGCCGCCACTTCCAGAATCGAGGGCTTTGTGCCGACATCCAATCGTCGAGTCGAAACGAGCCTACGTCAAACCATCGTCTGTCGAATCCTTGCTGAAGCTTTACTTTAAGGATGGAGAGGTACTGCTCTACTGCTTTTGCCCCCATTTTCCAACATGATTTTTATATAGTTTGGATTTATTGTGGTGCATTTCCCGATTTCAGTGCTGATTTTTGGCAGACCTACTTTTGTTTAGACATTTCATTCTTGCCATGATTAGCGAGTTTTTGTTATTTGAGGAGAACATGGGCGTTTCTTCTGAGAACTCTACCTCTCATTTCAGGTCCAGCAGAAGATGCCCTCGCTGCATGAAATCAAAGACCACGTGAAGAAATCGCTTGCTTCAATAAGAGTCGATCACTTGAGATCGCTCAATCCTACTCCTTATAAGGTTTGATATTTACTCATTTTAATTTTTTACTCCGTTAACAAAGCTTCCTGAATTTAAAGGAGATTTATATTCCTATTTTGATTTAGAAAAAAGTATCTTGTGCAATTATTCGCATGGTTTCAGCACTAGCATAATTTAAGTAACTTATGACGTCATACATCGGTTAAGAAAAATGAGACTGACGCGGCTCGTCTCGCCCGCTTGCTATACAGATTGCATATTGTTGACTTTTGGTAGGTTTTATAGCGGAAATTTAGATTCGAATTTTTAAGTCGCGTATAGGAATTAAAATTAGGTTTAATTGTGAGCAATAAGAGCTTTCATGGTATCTAAAATTTTATGGTTTTGCAGGTGTCCGTCTCAGACAGTTTGTACAACTTTATGCACCAGCTATGGCTAGACCATGCACCAATTGGAGAATTGTCGTGATTCTGTCTAAGGAATGTGGTGGGATTTGCATGGACGGCTGTTAAGGCGAGAATTTTTTTGGCTTTCAAAAAAACAGAGGGAGCAGAAATTCGAGTTTTGTGCCTTTCAAGATAAACAGACAATTGTTTGATTAAATTTCACGTTGGGTAACGAAATTTGGTGGTTAATATTGATGGAATTTAGCTGACCTAGATCCCGATCAATAAACTGCGTTATTTTTATGACACGAAGCACAGTTTACTTACTGACATTAAGCTAAAAAGCAAGATGTTGCTGCTTTAAAGCATTGGGTCTGACTATCCCAAGCATACTATTGTCAAACTAATAGCTCATTTAATAATTTGGCGATTCTTTATCACAAAAGGAATTTTAGATTTTTAAAAAAGCATAGCCCTTGCCTTCGTCTGACTTTAGACTTTTTTCTGTAATGAAAAGCCTTTTTCTGGGATGTGATGAAACTACCCTTTGTCACGTTGAAACGTGGATCAGTATAATCATGCGACAGTGTTTATATCTCAAATTTAATGTATTAAAATAAAAGAGTGTCTGATTATATTTGATAATTACATGGTGGATGCGCTCTTTCCAGTTAATTTCTATCAAAATTATTATCAAAGTCATTTTCGATATGAAAGGCAAGTAGCCAAAATAAAACCAAAATACTTTGCAAATTCCTTTTCAGATAAAGGACTTCTGCTCATTCTGATTGTTCAAGTTTGGGATGCCTTTGTGTTTTGTGAATGGATAATGTAATAATTGATTTACCTATACTAAGTGTTAACCTATAAGTAGAAAGCCAGTTTAATACCCTAACCATTTTACTATCGATTGTAAGTTAGCTATAATTCATGATGAGAAATTCGAGCACATGAGATTGTAAAAGTACGTTGTCTATGTATAACGGAAACGAAGGGGACCTAGTATGCTGCCTTGGCAAACACAATTTCACATGTTCCGAGCTTCAGATTAAAACTAATTGATACTGACTTACTGTATGCTTTTATGATCGTAAGACTGAAACCAGTTTAGAGCGGGTTTTTCTGTAGTAGAGCGGTTTTCTGTGTCAGACCTTTGTCTATAAACGACACAAGTTTCGGATTCTGTCTTTATAGATTGTTTATTGGTCAAGGAACCAATCAAGCGCAAACTCTTTCTCTCGCAATTCGTTCTATCCACAGCTGCATAGAGATTTCTGCTTTCCTTTACGTCATTATCAAACTTTTATACTACAAGGAATTTTATACTACTATGATCTGTTTTTGCTTTTCCGTGTTATTTTCCGTGAGAATTCGGCAAATTTACCATCATTTGAAAAAGAAATATTTCCATATTCTCTTTTTTATCTTCTTGAAAGTTTCATTTGGGAACTTTTGCAGTTTCTGTACTTTTCTTGAAGGCTTGCTTGAAATAGGTTAGAATCACTTAGATGCTGAGCAGAAATTTTTCGAGCAATAATGCATCAGGAGCTTTACTGAAGCAACTGGGGCTATAAATCTTATGAGAGAAAGTCCCCTTTGCACTATAAAAATTATGTCAATATTTAGTTAAAATGTGAAAACCAACTTGTGACTAACTGAACTTAAAAAGGGTTGTTGTGAGGATAATTTTTTTTAAAGATCTTGAAGCTAATCAATACAGAGGCGTCGTGGCTAGTGACTCTTAGGGGGGGCACAGCTTGCAAATTTTCCGACAATGGGTTTAAATTAGAATTATGACGTCATCTAGCGCATGCGCATTTTTTTAAACGCAGCAGCATCCCTTTTTCCTGATTTTAAGAAGTTGGTCAGAGAAAAGCCAGCGTCCGTATTCGAACATCATAAACAATTGGATAATCATAATCATCAGTAATCAGTATCTGTGATGAATAGTAAAACTTGCATTAGGACAGATAATAACGAACTGGACGATTTTAGTGCATGAAAAATCTCCTTAGCAATTACCGTATTTACTCTAATATTCCCGCTGCGGGATTAGCGTTTCAACCTAACATAGAAAGGCGGGATTATTAGAGAGGCGGGTATATTGGAGAGGCGGGATTATTTTTTCAATGCCTTGAAGTCTAGTTTGAGGATGTTCTGTCGAACCTTCAGTTACACGATGCTACGTTTTATATCAAGTCAGTACTTTTTTGTGCTTGATTGAAGGACCGTTCGAATAAACAGGAGGTGGACATTTTTCTACATTTTAATACAGTAAGGGGTTAATAAAAAATGACCTATGAAAAAAGTAAAAAATGAACCAATATATGGGGGGTTAAAATTAAATGGAGGCTGGGATATTTATTTTCACAGACAAGACAGAGCAGAAATTGTGCTTTATAGACAGTAGTACGAAGTCAAAGAATCGAACGTCTTTTTATGCTGCGAAACTTGGATGTTTGTTAAACTTGCAAAATAAGACAGCTCTCTGCCCTCTCCCGTCTACGACACTAGCACAGGATTTAACCCATTCACTCCAAGCATAAGTTTGAAACTTTGATTTTGAAGCCGATACAGAGTGTGTAAAGAATAGCAAATAGTAAAGAATGCCAATTGAGAGTTTCAATCCCGCATGCGGGATTACTGGGGAGGCGGGATTATTCTTACAATCTATGAAATACAAGCGGGATTACTAGAGAGGCGGGAATAAAAAAGAAGCGGGAATATTAGAGTAAATACGGTTTGTTTCAGCAAACTAGCCGAATACTTCGTCATAACTGCGTGTCATTGAGTCAAGCTCAACATCAATTTAACCCCTTTTGACCCACTGTTGATTACAGCCAGTTTTTTACACACTTGAGCTTTAAAAAAGTGCACTCGCATTTAGTAATACCACGAGTTTCTTTGTCTTCAAAAAACTTTTTCTACTTATATCTTCCTTCTTATACAGAATAGTTCCTTTGAACTTGCTTGATTTTTTATAAATTAGAAATATCATCTTGCCGAACAGATACAAAATTTCCAACAAATTGCCAAATGATCGGCGATTTGAGGTCCTAATGCACTCCCCCCTTCCCTCCAGCCAAGACGCCCCTGAATGCATGTTCCTTTTTTTAACCTGGACCGTTGTACTCGGATGACTGTCATATGCACTATTTATGCAGTACTTAGACAAAAGCAACTGCACAACAGTTTTCAGTAACTTCGTTTAAAACGAGCACCCCACACTGCGAAAACACCCCAAGGGAGGGGGAACATAACTAGAAAAATGACAGGGGTGTATGGCAAACCGTTTTGGACCCTGACCCTGTCCCATTAAGAGCATATCCTGTCTCATTAAAAGTATGCAAAAATACTGCACAATAGAGCCAAAGTTTACCAGATCTTATGGTATCTACCACTAGCTAATGTCACTAACGCATGCTTTTTCTACGAATTCCCTAAAAACAGAGTAAGCTATTCTTGCATATTTCTCGTTTATAAATTTCCTTAATTGTTATACCCTGTCCCAGATTTTTGATGCAATTCTTGATACCCTGTCTCATAATTTGCACCGGAAAATGATACCCTGTGGCACATCCCATCAGGTCCAGTTTGGGAGTGGCCCCCCCCGGGCATAACACACGCCAAGCCCAAGGCAATGACCTTGCCCTACCAACTGTAGAATTGAATTACAAGAAAAAGTCTATTGTCCTTAGCGGCGTCAGGATACCCTACTAAAAAACTCCTTCAGCGAAAGCTGCAAAAATGGGTCTTTGAAATCTACACAAAATATGCAATTCAAATTCCACACAAAAAACCCCTTTCGTGCCAAATAATGCCTTACTATGCAATAAAAGCAAAGAATATCGTGTCATCTTTATCTTTTTTCGTTTATCTCTCTTTTCATTGTATCATTCTTGCATCTTGCTCTTGCGAACCTCATAATTGACATTGTAAAAGTATATGAAATTTGAATTTAAATTTCTTTCTCGATATGGATGGATGCTGCAAATCACAAAAAAGCGCGAAAGAAATTTTGTGTGGTGCTTGTCACATGATTTCTTTTGTTGAAAATATTCTTGCCTGTTGTGTCCGCCATTTTTGGGTTGTTGTTGTTGGAAGAGGAGGAGGAAGGCAGAAGGAGGGACTGCAGAGACTGACTGAGACTGTTTGCTTTGCAACTGTTATAATGTGATACTTGTTGTGTTATTTACATATATACATCAACAGCAAAAGGATGATGTCTGGTTTTCTTGTCTCGGAGACTTTATAATGGCGACGAGGATAAAGCTGAGGTAAAAATTTAACATTTAACCCAACTCCAGATAACCAACAGCCAAGTATTCGGCGCAACACAGAAATCAGAGATGACGTTAAAGCAAGCATTATTTCGCAATATCCAGAGGTATTTACAGGTATTGGTACATTAAAAGACCATTTTGTGAAGTTTCACATAAATGAAAATATTCCCCCAGTAGCTGCACCGGCCAGACCTGTTCCATTTCATTTACGGAAGAGATTTGAGAAAGAGATACAGACCATGGAAGAGAACAATATAATAGAAGAACATATAGGACCAGCACCATGGATTTCAAATGTAGTGCTCGCCCCAAAAGATGATGGTAGTATTCGGGTCACTGTTGACATGCGTCAAGCAAACCGGGCAATTGAATCAACAAACATTCCAATTCCCAGAGTAGAGGACATTAAAACACAACTTGCAAGGTGTCAACATTTTTCTAAACTTGATTTTAAGTCTGCATTCCATCAACTGGAGCTTGATGAAGAGTCTAAGAAGATCACAGTGTTTCATGCAGGTGACCGACTGATGCGGTATCGAAAACTTACTATGGGCACGAAACCAGCCTCTGGCGAGTTGACAAAGGCGCTTCTTCCACTATTTCAGCCCATTCAAGAAGCACATGTTATCCATGATGACCTCATCATAGCAGCCAAAACAAAGAAACAACATGATCATGCATTAAATCGCGTCCTTCAAGTAATTGCAAAATCAGGAATGACTTTGAATCCTGATAAATGCATGTTTGATAAGGAGGAAATTCCATTCTGGGGACTACGTGTCTGCAAAGATGGTATTAAACCGGACCCAGAAAAGGTCAAGGCATTGCAACATGCCTCACGCCCACGTTCAAAGGATGAACTACAATCTTTCCTCTGTATGATCCAGTCAAATAAAGACTTCATACCAGACTTAGCAAGCAAAACAATGAACCTTCGGATGCGAACAAAGAAACACAGTCGCTTCACTTGGGATAAGGAGTGCCAAAGAGAATTTGACAGGTTGAAAGTTGCATTCAGAGAAGACACTCTTCTCCGCCATTTCAATCCTGAAGAGGATACATTTATTTTTGTGGATGCGCATCTTTCAGGACTATCTGCAATTCTGATGCAAGGAGAGACAAGTGATAGTGCAAAGCCAGTAGCATTTGCCAGCCGTGCCACAACCCCAGTAGAGCAGAGATACCCACAGCTAGACTTAGAAGCACTAGCCATTGACTTTGGATTGCGTCGGTTTCGCTACTTTATTGCAGGAGGTCCTGAGATCAAAGTCGTTACAGATCATAAGCCCCTGGTAAGCATTTTTTCTAATGCTAGAAAAGGGTCGGTCAGAACAGACCGGATAAAGCTGCGTCATCAAGACATGAAATATAGAGTAATCTGGAAGGAAGGGAAAGTTAACCCAGCTGATTACCTTTCCCGACATGCAACACCATTTAGTAGCATCAGCAGAGATCAACAAAAAGAAACCAGTGAACTAGAAAAAACGGTCTGGCTTCTTCAATATGCTTCATACACCGAGTCCATTTCTATGAGTCGAATCATCGATGAGACAGATAAAGACAAAACACTTCATGAGTTGAAGAAATACATTAGAAAGGGATATGTACCAAAGACAAAGGGTAATCTCGCTCCATTCAAAAAGATCTTTGCGGAACTTACCATCTCAGATGAGGAACTGATAATGAAAGGAGAACGCATTATTCTTCCTGAGAGTTTGTGGGACATTGCCCTTGTAAAAGCCCACCAGGGAGGTCACCCTGGAATGAACAGCCTTAAATGCCGCCTACGCAGTCATTTCTGGTTCCCAAAAATGAACCAAAAAGTGGAAGAGAAAGTGGCATCCTGTAAAGAGTGTCAACTATTTACAAACAAGACAATGCACGAACCCATTCAATCTCACAGAACGCCGGAACATGCATGGCAAGATGTAAGCATTGATCTGTTTGGTCCTATGCCCGACAGTAAGCATGTGTTGGTAGTTCTGGATAAAATGAGTCGATTTCCTGCAGCAAAGCTTGTCCCAAACACCGCAGCTAAGCCTGTCATTAAAGCATTGGATGACATTTATACAGATTTCGGTTATCCTGAAATGCATCGCACAGACAATGGACCACCATTTGATTCAAAAGCATTTGCTGAATTTTCCCAAGGCAGCGGTATTGATCATGTTAAAACCTTCCCGTATCACCCACAAGCAAACCCTGCAGAAACATTTATGCGTCCTCTCGGAAAAGCATTAAAGGCGGCCCATTTCAATAAAAAGGATAAACATACAGCTATTAAGGAAGTCCTAGCAACATATCGGGCGACGCCTCATCCTGCAACGGGAGTACCACCGGGAGATCTCTTGCTTCGTAGTGGGTATCGAAAAGATTTTCCGCGACGGCAACTGACTGAGCAACAGATACGCGAGGCTCAGATGCAAGACAGAGCACAACGTATGTCTCGAGAGGACCAAATGAACAGGTCGACCCATAGAAAGAAGTCCATCTACACTCCAGGGGATCTTGTGTACATACGGAACATGCAGCGGTGCAAGTTTGATCCCATCTTTGGGCCAGAGCTGTATAAAGTCCTGTGCACAGAAGGTAGCGGCCTGTTACTAGAAAGTTTGGCTGATAATAAAAGTTTCAGAAGGCACTGTGATGACGTAAAGCCTGCAGTTAGCCAAGGAAAAATCGAGGACCATACTATTTGGATAGAGAACCAAGCCCATCAAACAGAAAACGCGAACAACCAAGATCCGGTTCCAGACATGACAGAAGAGCCAGTAATTGCCCTGCTGGCGTTATGCGCAACATCCAAAAAGGACAGGGCTACAAGACTCGGAGGGAAACTCGTTTACCTGCTAGGTTCAAAGACTACGTCCGTTACTAAAAAAGGAAGTGTGTTGTGTCCGCCATTTTTGGGTTGTGTTGTTGGAAGAGGAGGAGGAAGGCAGAAGGAGGGACTGCAGAACTGACTGAGACTGTTTGCTTTGCAACTGTTATAATGTGATACTTGTGTGTTATTTACAATATTACATCAACAGCAAAGGATGATGTCTGTTTTCTTGTCTCGGAGACTTTATATTGCCATGAGATGCATGTTCCCGTATAATGTCCAATTTTCAAGAGAGCAACCTACATATATGCATACACATGCATACACACGCAGCATATATCATACATAGATGTTAAAGCAGGTTGACTACAGTGGCAGTTTCGGTTTCAGTTTCGTTCATTCTACCAATCAATCCAAAATACAATTTTGCATAATTTATGTACAACTACTGATTTACAAAAAACTATACAATGCAAGGGGAATACACTTCTAAGGAAAAAAACTTATATGATTGTATTTAAGATATATGCAGCATAAAGGTTGATGTGGACCTGCTGAATACCTTTCATTATTACCCTAAGTACTTTTGTGAAATATATAGATTGCGAAAAACAATTTCTATCGAAGGCCCTTTATAACAATTATATTTATAAAGATTCTATTTGCAAAGCAAAGTTAAAAATAACAAAAATTCCGTGTATTACTTCCAAACGAAGGAACATTCTTGTAAGCTAATGTTAAGCATTACCAAGTTTCCTCTAATTAAACGATTTTGTTATGATGCGGAAAATTTGAAATTATTTAAAAGCGCCAAAAAGCAACGAGCAAGTTAAAAAGAAGGGGGCGAATCAGTGAAGCGAAAGACACGGGTGTGGGCACGGTTTGCGGCGATTAGATGAGTCTCGCAATCACACCGCCGAAATGAGTCCTTGATGTCCTCTCTTGTGACATCAACTTGTTCTGAAGCAAGAACCTGTCAATCAATAATAAAAATATCAAAATGGCAACGACATCGCCAACACATTGCCAAAACCTGCTAGACAAGGTATAATGCAAATTTTCTTTGTATAACATTGTCGTTTTTGTCTTGAAAAAGCTTTGTTTTGTGCAACTCACCTGGTGTCAAAGTGCTAGGCCGTATTACTATTAGACTAGTAAAAATGGCACAGTACAAACACTAAGGACTTCTCGTGTTTTTATAAATTTAGAGCAATCTAGTTT